CTCACATTTATAATCAAGGAAGCTCTCTACACTGCGCAATGAATCTCTTATTTACACCCTGTCTACACTTTGCTTATGAAAGGATTCGTGAGATATGTCTGTGATACATTAATCAACGCTGCAAAAACACTTAGAAACCTTTGAGGCTCTCCTGAGCGCAATCACAAGTATGATGATGATCGGGTCAGTCGCACTGGTGCTCCTAAAAAAAATTCATAGTCGCACGCAGTAGTTTTCAGTCGCAAATGGTCGCACTGTAGAGCCCTGCAATGGCCAATCAGAGGTGTTCAAGAAATCAACAGATATGTCTGTGTGTGATTGGCTATGATGCTCAACGGTGCAAAACACGTTGTAGCCTAAATACAAACTTTTGATGCTTTCAGGAGCACAAATACAAATAAGCACTGCCGTTTACCAAATCTGTTTCGCCAGTATTATTAGTTTCAACTGAGGGTGCTTTTCACATACTTTTTTTTTGCTTATTAGCATGCCTATTGTTAACATATTGGCTGTTTATTAGTACTTATATAGCACATTCTGCATGACCATATTCTACATCCTTAATCCTACCCAATACCTAAACTTAACAACTACATTACTATTAATAAGATGCAAATTAGGAGTTTACTGAGCAAAAGTCATGGTTTGTTAGCGAGAATTTAATTCACACTTAATTTAATTTAATAACACACTTAAAATAAAGTGTGACCCGTGAGTCTCGCGCTAAATGCAGCCCTTATCTTAATAGGGAAATATGATATGCTTCCTCCTAGCAGTTTCCCCAAACACAAGAAAAAAATTACCAAACTGTGAGATTAAATGCTTAGTTAATACATAATTTTGTTGGAAAAATCCTTAATAGTTTTCTTTAAATGTTGTTTGCCTTTCCATATGTCCCTCAGATTCTTATTAAATTTGGCACCCCACTTCAGATTTTTCAAGGAGACCAATGCCATCCCAGACCAAAGTCCTTGACCAAAGTCGTCAAAACTTTAGGGTCAAGTAAAAACTACATAGTTTTATACACTGGCAATTCAAAGTTTAAAATATATTTTTAGACCCGGATAACTTGCTTTGACAAAATAAATTTCACTGGTCATGTATAAAATTGACAAAGAACAAAAAGCATTAAACAAAATAACTTATTTTTGTGTTCATCAGATTAAAGAAAATAATATAGGTTTGGATGGAAATTTTTTTTGGGTGAATTATCCCTTTAGAAATACAGCTTTTCCATCATCAGTCATGGCTATAAACAAATTCACTTTTACATATTATAATTCCGTTGCAACCCATCAAAATACACAGAACAGAAACAAAGGCTTGTTTTCAGCCATGCAACCTCAAAAGGTTTATTAAAAGGTTTCCCTCTCAAATCCTGAGAGATCACTTCCCTCACACTAGCATGCAATAAACTAATTAACTTTATAAACTCGTCTTGTTTTTACATGCAGAGAGCAATCACAATCCAGGGTGTATTCCAGAAAGGAGGTTTAAGATACTCTAAAACTTGAACTCTGAGTAGACTTGCCCTGAGATGGGAAATTCTGAGTTTTCAGTTAAAGAACGGCTGAATTGAGTTAGTTAATTCAACTCTGGGTGAAGTCAACCATTTTTAACAATATTCAAGAGTTTAAAAAAGTTATGGAATCTAAACCGTGTGGGTCTGCATTACCACTTGGTTGTTTATTGCAGCGTTTATACAGTTGTTAATACTGTTCACAAATGGGTGAAAAATTAGTGATGTAACACTTGGTATGATAACACTCATTCTTACAATGTGAACTGTTCAAACTTCAAACAAGACAGATGACCCTAAACACCCTTAAGAATATTGTTTTGATGACAATAATGGGAGATTATAAACATTAAGCTATGTATGCAATCAATTAAAAAATTTATATCACGTCTCAAGTAATAATACAAGACAAGAAACCCAAAGCCAACAGAAACAAGGCAAGGACCACTTTGTGAGATTTTTACAGATTTATTTGCGAAAACAAAGAAAGCTTAGAATCTGAGCTTCTGGAAGAACCATTTGTTCTTGCCCGTCTTGTACCTATAAAAGAAAACATTCACTATCATCAATGTATCACCACATGTAGGACAATACATGCTTATCATATTGAATGTATCAAAGAAAACAATGTCCAGTGCCC